CAAACATGATTACTACTAAAGATACTGAAATATATAAAAGTAGGTCACTGTAATCTGGGATGTCACTACTGTTTACATTATTGGCACAATATACTGTAATCCACCAGATAACTCAAACATGATTATTACTAAAGATACTAAAATATATAAAAATAGACCACTGTAGTCTGGCATGCCACTACTGTTTACATCAACGGCACAATAAACTGTAACACATCAAACAACTTAAAAATAATTATTACAAAAGTCATTGAAATATATTAAAGTAGGTTACAGTAATCTAGCATGTCATTACTGCTAACATCAATGGCACAATAGTGATTTAGTATACAGGTCTGTGATAAAAATGTACAAAAGACACATAATTATGTACATATGAGTTGCATATACAATGATTTTAACCAGTCATTATTGTATTTACTTAGTCCAAAGCTGCTGGGGAGTTAACCACAGCAAATTACCCTTATAAGGTGTAGAACTATATCTTCAACTTTACTTTGTTAGAGTTATACTCACCAGTCATTCTATTAACTCCTCCTAAGGCTGCAGCAGCCCCCACCATGGCATACAGCCCTGGTGTTATGGTACAGCATTGCTTTGATTGGCACATATTCTGGAAAAAGGGTTGTCATGGTTTCTCCTACAAAGATAACAACATTTACAGTACTTAAAAAATAATGCAAATTAAAAGAACTGCCTACTGGTAAAAATGTTTTTGACAGGAAATCAAGTGGACAATTCAGTTACTTGATCATAATTCCTTACTTCCAAAACTGTAATAATTATCAGTTGTATAGACTATTAGTGGTCATGTTATTCAATAAATGAAATCTGTCACATTCAATGCTATTGATAATTTAGTGTATAGATTAAAGTTATTAGACAAGGCTGGACCTTTCTCTCATGAAGGCTATAGAAACTCGAGTGTATCGAATTTTTCACATTTTTCAACTTTGGCACTGTTCGTTTCTGATTTTACAAAACTTTTATCGGACCTAATAGATGGAAATTGTTTACCTGAAAATGGGTCTTCCATGATAATTATGTCGGACGGTCAGATGATTTTACAACAGCTCTAAGTTTCGATAAATTCCACATGGATATTGATAATTTAGGCGGATTTCGGCAATTCGACGTACCAACTGTTCTAATGAGAAAAAATAAAAATAATAGGAATCACGAGAAAGATGAGTTATTATTGACATGTGGCGACTAGGGATAGTCGATTTTTCATTATTTCAACGACTGAAACGATCTCAAAAATAACTCAAGATTTAAATTCTACTCGAAATAAATCCGAACTCTTTTACACGGATTTTCAAGTAATTCAGGTTTGTCAATCGGTTGACTGCTCTTAATGCAAAATGCAACTATATCGAAAGTTTGGAAGTTAAAAAAAAACATCGTTCGATTCTTTACTGCCCAGTGTCAATGAAATACAATAAAAAAACACAGAGTATAACAAATTCCACTTTTTGGGATTTTTCTGATGATGTATTTACCCCCACGTAGACACAAAATGGCTATTGCCTGATACCATTAAAGGCACTAAAGCGCTGCCTTAAAATGAGTGTAATTTATAACTACAGGCTCTAATAACCTGTGTCGCTCACTTGCATGCATCTTCAACAATGGTCACTTTTCGGTTAAATCCATCATAAAAGGGCAATAACTCTTTAAAGAGTTAATTGACAATTACAGTCATGTTAAGTATTTGTAGATCTAGCCCTGCTGATAATTTTTGCTTTTTAAAGTTTCTATCTATATTTGTATCTATTAAATTTTTCAAGATAATAGGCAAAAACTAGCAGTTTTAGAGATAAGATTTTTGCAAAAGTCAACCACTACAGACAACGACATACGCCAAGTGATGAGAAAAGCTAGCTTGGCCTGTCGGCCAGGTGAGCTAAAAATGCATGCTTCATGCCGTTTGGATTAGTCAAGTCATTTCAAACTAATTTTTACAGTTTGTTCTCATACTGTGCTGTTACAAGTCATTCCATGTTAATGGGCGGGTTGAGTGTTCACAGACATGTTTAACCGCACCACATGTTATGTGTCCCTGTCCCAGGAGTCTGTAATTCAGTGGTTGTCATTGACTGCTCTCTTTCTATTTTATTTATAATGTCTGTTTTGTTCACGCATCGTTGTAAATATAACGAAATTTGATAAGACTGTCGTACAAGTGAGAGGTTTAGCGCTATAAAACCAGGTTCAATCCACCATTTTCTACATTTGAAAATGCCTGTACCAAGTCAGGAATATGACAGTTGTTGTCCATTCGTTTGATGTGTTTTGTCATTTGATTTTGCCATGTGATTAGGGACTTTCCGATTGAATTTTCCTCGGAGTTCAGTATTTTTGTGATTTTACTTTTTTCTTGTATATGTTTTTTTTTAATTATTGTTTTATCATAAATTAGACCGTTGGCTTTGTCATGTCAGGACCTTTTATAGCGGACTTTAATGAATGGATTGCGCATTGTTGAAGGCTATACTGAGACCTATAATTGATTAAATCCCTTCTTTGGGACTCTGTTGGATAGTTGTCTCATTGGCAATCATGCCAAATGATCTCATTATTTTGTTTCATTTGGACTTATTATTTTCAATTATGCTTTAAAACTCACAAATTATATGGCTAATTTCAAATCAATCTAATTTTCTGAGATATGAAACGTGAAAAAAATCCAATAATTCTGGATTGGGAATATTGAAACCAGATATTGCTATCCAAGAACAAAATGAACAAAACATTTGTAAATGCATTACATCTTGTATCATTTATAAATAGTATTTTAGCATAAATTATCTAGTAAAACATTCTTTTTTAAGAATGAAAGCTAATTTAAGGTTGAGCAATTGAATAATTTATTAATGTAAGAAATAAAATGTTACCTCTACAAGAACAAGTTTAAACAAGATATCACTAGTCATTTTGGCATTTGCATTTTTTCAATACTTTTTCTGATTCAATCATACTTAAAACAAAATCTTTCTGACAATAAAAGAACAGCCTTCCAATCTCACAGGCAAATGCAAAAATTTATTCCGTCCCAGAGCAACAACTCCAATATATTCTTTATTCCTCCAAAAACTTTTTCATAAATATTCTACAGGAAATTAAGGCACCAATCACATACAATGAAATACTCCATATAATTTTTTATTTCTAAAGGGAATTACACCTGTAAAATATTTGATCACCTCTGACTAAAAATCCTGTCCAATACCTTTCTGGTATAAACCTTTGATGTCAACTTCATAAAATTTTGACAAGAAAAGGTGGCATGTGAGTGCTTACAATGCAATTTTCTATTTAAAATTATATTTTGAAGGTACATAATTCCTCTTAAGATCAAATACCAGAACTGAGTTTGGAACTTGTAAAAGAAATTACTTATATAAACCTTGGATATAAATTTTATAAAAACTTTACAAGAAATGTAGGCTTTAAAGCAGTAACAATAAATTTTTCTATAGATATTACATTTATATGGGTGATAACTCCTGTGAAAATATTTGATATGTGCAGATTTTCTATCTTGTCGGAAACATTGATGATATAAGCCTTTGACATAAATTTCATATTTTTTTTTATAGAATTTATATTTTCAAGGAGCATAATTCCTATAAAATTTATTGTTCTGTCCTGATTTTTGGACTGTTGCAAAACATTGCTGTTTTGATATAAATTTCATTAAAATATGGTTAGTAATCTAAGTTTGAAAGAACTTGCAATGCAATTTTTCATAGAATTTATATTTCCAAGGGGCATAACTTCTTTAAAAATAATTGATCTGCATTGATTTTAAAACTTTTCCAAGACATTGCTGATTTAAACCTTTGACATTAATTTCATAAACATCTAACGAGAATTATACATGTGAGAGTGGATACCTTGTAGCAGGGGACAATAACCTGATTATTTCAAAATTCCATAGATAGTTAACTTTATACCGAAGGTAAAAATAGTAATTAGACCTTTAAATAGTAATCCAAGAAACAGCATCCACAAGGCTATGTAATCTCCATCCCCTGCACTTGTACTGGATGTGTAAGAACTCTAAGAGGTAGAGTTTTATGTGTAATCACTGAAAAACATAAGAATATTTAGAAAATTATCTTACAGATGAATATTATAAGTTCCACCTCACAAATGACAGGTATTCACAACATAAAACTTTGTGTTGAAATGGCTGCACAATATAAGCTCTTAAACATTCCTTCTTTAGTTTACTTTTTTAAAATGCTAAAAAAAAATCAGTAACATATATATGCATTTTTTATGGAATTTTAATCTCAAACTTCTCTGTAGACAAGTGTATACGAATTGATAAAGTTCATTCATTACTATTAAATTCATGACTTGATATAAATGTTTATGAATTAAGGAGATGTGATATTACTGCCAATGAGGAACTATACATACAGATCAAAGGACAAAGATGTGAACAATAACAGCTTGAGAAAATCCCATACTGTACAGTAAGATATAAAAAGCCTCTGCATAGAAAAATTTTAAACAAATAAAAAGAGAAAACCAACCACATGATTTTTTTCAACAAAGAAAAAAAACGTATTGCGTACACTATCCAACAACAAACACTGGATTACAGGTTTTGTTCTCATGAAACAACTTTAACCATTACACTTTACAGGTAAAAAAAATCTTTAAATTATGAAAACTATTAAATGCCCAGGATGTTGCCAAATATTGCAAAGAGATAATTTACAGTGATCTAAAACTACAATAGAATGCCTAAGTCTAAGGTTAACAATATCTTAAATTTGTGTGTTCATAATGGTTGAAAACACCTTAAAAGAACCTTTTAAATATATTTAGTAATACTTGACAATGTGTATCTTACAATTCTGTTGTTTTCATATTACATATTGCATACATATAGTTCTAGATTTAAAAAATTCAGGTAGACTCTTCAAGTTTTAAATCATTGGGGAACCCAGTTTTATGTTACTAAAAATAGTGCAGGTTATTCCCGACTTTATGAATATGTCAGCCATTACAATTCAGTATTCAAAGTAAAACTAAAGGAAAGTAAGTATTTAACAACCTATCTGTCATTTTATATATAATTAATATATCTATATATATTATATCAATTTTGAGAACATTAAATATAAATGATATCTGTAGTTACCGACTTAACACTAGAAAATTATTAGGGTTATGGCTTGAATCCAGTCATGAAGACAATTACTGTATATTTATAGAATGGATAAAGAAGATAAAGAAGATAAAACTAGACACTTTATAGTTGGATCTGTCTACTTAGAGGTTGTTACTCCATTGTTTCAACAAAAGTTATACGAAAATTATAAAAGCCTCAACTTTGGATGTCTGAAGGATTTTCTTGATAATAAGGCAGTCATCCACATTTTATTTCACCTACGCCACAGGAATGCAAGGTGCTGTACAGATAAGGCAAACTGCACCAACCAAGGAGCTCTTCCTCTAAATCATCACCAATGGAAACAACTGTATGCTGAAAATCCAGGGCCTGGTATACACAACTGTTTTTGTAAGTACACAGCCAATTCAGTCAAACTAAAGGATCTTGATTTGAGTTTGTGTGGTCTGATATTGTTTAACTGCTGCAACTTGGGACAACTCGATCAAGATGCAGTCCATATTCTCCGACGGAATAAAAACGACTATCTGAGTCATAACACAAAGTGTGGTATAACAAAGGATGAATATGACACAGTGATGGATGAGCTTAAGACTAACGTTCTTCAACTTGATCAGACCAAAGAAGATGAATTGATAAGGATACAGAAAAGACCACTGGATGACGCACTGTGTAACAAATACATGACAATCCTTCTAGATATCCATGAGATATTTGAAAAGGTCAGAATTATTTCTATTTAAAAGAGAATACAAAGAAAATAAGTATTCTCCATTACTATGAAGGGGGAGTTGAGATCTCAATAAACTAGTTTAAACCTTAAAACAATATTTATAAAGTAAAGGAAATCCATTCATCAGTGAAATACAGAAAAAATCAAAAAAGTTTACTTTTTCTTCAGATGGTATTTCTTGATCTTGAAATCTTCTGTCCAAGTATCGTAACATTCTATGATGATTTGACAAAGTTGATGATGCCTGCAAAAGTTTAACACCAGACTGAATGTATGTCTTAACTTAATAACAATTAAGTCCATTTATCAGTAAAGTACGACAAATCAAAATAGACTATTTTCAAAATTGTGCTCTAATTATCTGGATGCTGTCTTTTGATCATAAAGAAGAATTTGTCATAAGTTTTATAAACTCCTCTAAATATCCATTGGATGTGTACTGATATTTTATATTTGGATATATGATTTCTTTCATTAGTTGTTATTTGCTATGAACTAGCTTTTAATAACTATGAGTACTCTCAGATCAGTACTTAAGTCTTTTTATTAGTTGTTTTTGTGAACTCCCCGACCATCCCCCCCCCCAAACCGCATTCTGTATGAGCTGTTAGTTTACTCCTCTGAATTGTTTTACATTTGTTATGCTCTTTGTTGAAGACCGTACAGTGACATATACCTACTAACTATTACATTATTTGGTGTCTGGTAGAAAGTTTTCTCATTGGCAAATATACCACATCAAATGTTTTTAAAGTCAAATTCATTTTTAATATATAAATATTAAACAGATGTATGTATTTATTTGTAATTTTTCCTGCTAAGATAAAGTCTTGAGTAGATGTACATAAGATACAAGAGTGCATATGCTGAAATGTCTCGCCTGCTTTACTGACCATTGCTTTTATGTTGCAAGTCTTAAAGATAAAGGTTTTACTAAAAGTATCACATGAAATTAACATTTTATAAGATCTATGAAAATGAGGTCATGGTCAGATAAATCCTGTCTGACAGACATATACACCTTACAATTTTTTTTATACATCGAAAATAGTTGCCTTATTACTTATGGTATATGAAAAACCGACCAAAACACAAAAACTTAACATTAAACCATAAAAATAAGCCAAGGTCAGATTATACTTGCCAGACAGACATGTACACCTTACAATTATTCCTCAAATATCAAATACATCAAATATAGCTGACGTATTGCTATTAGTATTTCAAAAACAGACCAAAACACAAAAACTTAACATTTACCAATGTACCATGAAAAGTTGAAAATGTCAAAAATAAGTATGTTTGATACTGTCAAACTGAATTATAGACCCCCTTTACATAGAATTGTCCATATTTTGAGTTAGAGCTGGTAGACTTTTCTATAATTTTGATATAATTTGTCCCAAAAGTAGTTTTATACACTGTAAAAATCTTTTTCAGAAATGGCAGATGCAATTTTTGTTGAGCTTGCGACATTTATGTCGCGATAGCGAGACATAGCAATTCCTTCGTCGGCGTCGAATCGGCGGCGTCAACATTTCGGTTCAGTTTGTGGTTTCTCATAGATGGACTTAGTTTTTTACAGTTAACATTTACAGTCTGGGATTAAAAATTTTGACCATTATGTATTTTACTGATAAATGGACTCATTTTTTAAATCAACATTACAGTTTTACACTGACAGCAGCAATCGCAGGCGAGAAACAGGGTTCCACCGAACCCCTTCCGATTTTTTTTAATTTGAATTTATTGTCTAAAAGAAATGCACTACGAAATAACTGTATTCTAGGGCCGACTTAATTATACAAACAAACAAACTGTTTGGTTTTGGTTCTGATTGAGAACTTCACATCTGATTCAATAGAGGTTCTTCATTTTCTTAAGAAGTTCGATATTAAAGTTCCATTCCTGTAGTACTGTTAAATTACCTTAAACCATTAAAACATAGTTAATTTCGAATTGTTTATTTTCAAAGGGAGCATCTCTGCTTCTGGAATTTAACAAATAGTGATATATCATGGAAATACCTTTATATTGGAATGACTCTCACATTAAAAATGCCGTAAGCAAGTGCCCTATGCGGCGTCATGATCAATATAGATGTCATGGCTAAGATTCAGATCTCTTTCACTGATATTTCAGTATGAACTAACTAAACCCCTTTGCCATGCGTACATGGCTAACCCTCCTTAATTGGGTAAATTTTCATCATACATTTGTTATCAATTTTCCAGAATTCAAATTGTCCTAGATTTAAATAATTCCTTGTTATAACTTAGAATTTTTTTTTTATCTTGTCTTGATGATCGTTTTTGCTGTCTACAGTTTTTCTTTATTTAACTATAGTTCTGGTCTTAAATGTAAAAAAAAATTGGGTAAAATCATAAATTAGGAGCAATAACTATTATAAGGAGTTGACTGGCAATGTTGGTCATATTAACTTATTGGCAGGTCTTGTATTGCTGATCTTAAAGCAATCTGTTTAAAGTTTCTCTTTTTTATTTTATAGTTTTAAAGATGAATACAAGAAGATGCAAAAAATGGGTAAAATCATCATTAAAGGCTAAAATACATACAGAAATAGGGGTCAACTGATAATTTTAGACACGTTGAAATGTTTCAGATCTTGTCTTGCTTATTATTTTTGCTGTTAACGGTTTTTCTTTATCTACTATAGTTTTGGTCATAATGCAATAAATGCTAAAAATTGTCATTTAAATAACACTTTAATATAGGGAGACAACTGGAGAAATATTGACAAATCATTAATCTTGTCCTGCTGATATTTTTTTCCTTTCTTTAGTGTCTCTTTATCAATTATGTTTTTCGAGGTACTAATACAAAAATGTACAAAAAATGGAAGTAATTATCACTTAGGGGCAATAACTTATAGAAGGAGTCCACCAAAAATTTCCATCATGTTAGCTCATTTGTAGATCTTGTCTTGCTGATCATTTTTGTCATTTAAAGTATCTATCTATCTATTAAAGTTATCTAGATAAAAAAGGTAAAAACGCAAAAACTTGGTAAAAATCATCCTTTAAGGGCAATAACCCCTGTAAGGATTCAACTGGTAATTACAGCCATGTTGACTAATTTCTAGGTCTTGTATTGCTGATCATTTAAGCTATTTAAATTTTATATCTATCTATTATAGCTTTAAGGTGAACAAAAATGGTGAAATTCGTCATTCAAGGGCAATAACTTTTACAATAAGTTTGACAGTTTTGGTTTAAATGGACAGAAGGTAAATCTCAACTATCTGAGCATGTCTGCCTTTGTCAGATTTTGTCTTATCTATTATTGCGATTTTCAAGATAATACACAAAACTGGCAATGTACCCTATGATCTTTTTTGAGCAATGTCAGTTGGCAGGTGGGATCCTCGGCCACATTTTTAAAACTAAATACTCCAATGATGACTGTGGTCAAATTAAGTTAAATTGGCCCAGTAATTTCAGAGAATAAGATTTTTGATAACGTTTGCAGACGATGGATTCAACGACTGACCCCAAGAGATAGGAAAATATCACATGGCCTTTTGGGCCACTTTGCTTAAATGGAGATGTCAAAACATGAGGATTTTGAGAAAAATCATAATGAATAATTGTTTAAATCTTATCTGTTAGTTTGTATTGCTCTTTTAAATCAAATTAATTTGAAGAGAAGGAGTTTTTTCTGAATGGAAAGCACAAAATTTTTGACATGAAAGTCTTGGAAAGTAGAAATAAACGTCTGGTCAGTGGTATAGGTCATAAGATGGCTAAGAAGACATATTTTCCAAATAAAAACTAAACATCTGTCATTAAAAATGCTTCTTAAAAAAATTAAAAGGTGTAATGTGGGCAAATGTATTCCCATAAATAGCATTATCACTATCCCTTATCTCCCTTAAGTATCCCTGTTTGACCAAGTCCTGCAATTCTAAAGTGTGGTGACCAGTATGGCACCAAACATGCAAGATAAAAATATCTATCCCTTCAAATAGGAGTGATACAGGATTAATATCTATGAGACAAATCCATAAAACACAAAATCAGCAACAAAGAAACTTACCAGTATGTTGGTTATTGATTGGTAGGACCTTTAACTTTTTTTGAGATTTCAAGGACAAGTTATTCTCAGGACTAGTAAACTTTGAGGTTGACTTGCCTGTCCGGTTAGGTATGAGTTCATACTTTTACCCCATTTATATAGTTACATTTTATTTCAGATTGACAATAAAATAGAACTAATACGAGACAAAATGAACATCAACAATGATCAGTTGACTGCTAAAATAGAGGTAAGTTGTAGTTACACATTATACTCATATACCATGCTTACAAATGTAGTAAGAGTCATAATGGGAACAACCATAAATTGTTAATTGAAGAATTAAAAAAGACAATGCCAACATTTAAACAAGAGTGCACACATTGAAATGTCTCGTTGGCTTTAGTCGTCATGATTGATTGTATGTTTCATTTTTGTTTTAAACTAATTAGCATCATATATATATATACGGTAATTGAATTTATATAACATAAGAATGGTATGAAAGAAATACATTTAGCCAATTTTGTCTTAAAGAAAAGTCATAGACAGTAAAACAAAAAAATAGATTGACGTATTTTCAGAGTTGAAATGTGACATAAATCCAGCAGATTTAAATTTTTACCGAGAAGCACTTAAAAATCAGGAGAGTTCGACTCTCGCCAGAAGAATCACAGGAATGCCTATTGATTTCAACAATTGAGATAATTAAAGGGATGGTTAAATTTGTACAAACATGATACATACTAGCTATTCTTCAGGTTATTAAATTTTCCAAAGTGATCTCCATAAATATGAAGTCATGTTAAAAACAAAACACTAAATATTTAAGCAGCCATTTTGTAAATGGTGAGCTACCAAATTTTGTTACACAAAGCTAGCAAAGTAAACTTGTATATATATATATTCTCATTGAGATCTTAGAAAATGATTTATTTCATTTTTAACAAAAACAAAACTTTTTACTACAATTTTAACATTTGGAATCGAATTGAAATGCATATTAAATCTATACATTAAATAACTTTTAAAATCTAACACAAAACAATGTATTTTTATACGACCGGAAAATGTTTGCGTTCGGATTATGCTATGACGATGTCAGAGTCGTCGTCCGAAGACATTTTGGTTCGCAGACATTAACATGAATATAAGTTTATGGTTCTCTATGGCAATTTTAGACATGCTGATATATTTGCAGATCTTGTCTTGCTTATCTTTTTTGCTGTTTACATATTTCTTTATCTACTATAGTTTTGGTCATTTTGCAAAAAATGCAAAAAAAATGCCATTTAAATAACACTTTAATATAAGGAGACAACTGACATTTTCAGAAATATTGACAAATCACTAGACCTTGTCCTGATTTTTTTCCTTATCAATTATGTTTTTCGAAGTACTAACACGAAAATGTGCAAAAATGGAAGTAATTATCACATAGGGCAAATATTTATAGAAGGAGTCCACCAAAAATTTCCACCATGTTAGCTCATTTGTAGATCTTGTCTTGTTGATCAGTTTTGCCAATTAAAGTTTATATCTATCTATTAAAGATATCTAGATAAAAGGCAAAAACGCAAAAACTTTGTAAAAATCATCCTTTATGGGCAATAAGCCCTATAAGAAGTCAACTGGCAATTACTGTCATGTTGACTAATTTCTAGGTCTTGAATTGCTGATCATTCAAGCTATGGATATATTTTTGTTCGAGCATATTGTTTTTCTTAAATTGTTTAACATTTCATAGCGGTATAACATGTTACTTTTATTATTCTTCCCTTAGTTTATTTATTTTGTATTTACATTGTATCATAGGTCAAATTTATTTGTTCAGTGTATGTTCACTGGTGTTAATATGTCCTTTGATTGAGTTAAGCTATTTCAGTTGATATTTTATACTGTGTCTTTCTATGTTGTGATGTTACACTATTGTTTCAGAAAAACGTTAAAACCCGCTGCATTTGTTTGCACCTGTCCTAAGTCAGGCATGTGATGCTCAGTAGTTGTCGTTTGTTGATGTGGTTCATAAGTGTTTCTCGTTTCTCGTTTTTTTAAATAGATTATACCGTTGGTTTTCCCGTTTGAATGGTTTTACACTAGTAATTTTTGGGGCTGTTTATAGCTTGCTGTTCGGTGTGAGCCAAGGCTCCGTGTTGAAGACCGTACTTTGAACTATAAAGGTTTACTTTTATAAATTTTGACTTGGATGGAGAGTTGTCTCATTGGCACTCATACCACATCTTCTTATATCTTTGTAAGATTTATATCTATCTATTATAGTTTTAAAATGAAAAAAATGAGGAAATTCGTCATTACAGGGAAATAACTCTTATAATAAGTTGTCTGATTACAAGGTTTCATACCACAATAGGAAGGTTGGGATTGATTTTTGAGGTTATTGTCGTAGCGGTTTAGTAATGAAGGGGCTAAAATAAGCATTTTTCTTGTCGTCCAAAGTCATTTTGGTTCACAGACAATAACTTGAGTAAACGTGTATGGATCTCTATGAAAGTTTAGCAATAGGTTCCAAACCACAATAGAAAGATTGAGATTGATTTTGGAGTTTAGTGTTGTAGTTGTTTAGTAATGTAGGGCCAAAAAGGGGCCACAAACTAGCATTTTTCTGGTACACAGACAATAACTTGAGTATAAGTGTATGGACCTCCATGAAATTTTAGCACAAGGTTCAATACTACAAAATAAAGTTTGGGTTTGATTTTTAGGGTTATTGTCGTAACTGTTTAGTAATTAGGGGCTATAAAGTGCCCAAAAACAAGTATTTTTCTTGTTTCAGGACAACAACTTGTGTATAAGTGTATGGATCTCTATGAAGTTTTACCACAAGGTTCCAAACCTCAAAAGGAAGGTTGGCATTGATTTTTGGGGTCATGGCCTTAATCGTGTAGGAATTAGGACCCAAAAAGGGGTTGAAGAAATTTTTGTTCGTTTAAGTATAAGTGTATGGATCTCTATGAAATTTTAGCACAAGGTTCTACACCACAATAGGCAGGTTGGGATTGATTTTGGGGGTTATTGTTGTAGATGTTTAGTAATAAAGGGCCAAAAAGGGGCCAAAATTAGCATTTTTCTGGTTCGCAGACAATAACTTGAGTATAAGTGTATGTATCTCTATGAAATTGAACACAGGGTTCCATACCAAAAAAGGAAGGTTGAAATTGATTTTGAGAGTTATTGTTGTAGCTGTTTAGTAATTATGGGATATGAAGGGGCCAGAAACAAGTATTTTCCTTGTTTCATGACAATAACTTGTGTCTAAGTGTATGGAACTCTATGAAATTTTACCACAAGGTTCCATACCTCAAAAGGAAAGCTGGAATTGATTTTGGGGATCATGGCCAAATCGTTTACGAATAAGGGCCGAATAGAGGTCGAAGACATTTTGGTTCACAGACAATAAAATGAGTATACGTGTATGAATCTCTCTTGAATTTTAGCACTGGGTTCCATACCACAATAGGTAGGTTGATATCGATTTTGGGGTTATTGTTGTAGCGGTTTAGTAATTAAGGGCCAAAAAGGGGCCAAAAAGTAGCATTTTTCTGGTTCGCAGACAATTACTTGAGTATATAAAGTTAATGGATCTCTATGAAATTTTAGCACAAGGTTCAATACCACAAAAGGAAGGTTGGGATTGATTTTGAGGATTATTGTAGTAGCTGATTAGTAATTAGGGGCCAAAAAGGGGCCAAAAACAAGTGTTTTTCCTGTTTCAGGACAATAACTTGTGTATAAGTGTATGGATCTCTATGAAATTTGACCACAAGGTTCCATACTTCAAAAGGAAGGTTGGGATTGATTTTGGGGGTCATGGCTCAAATAGTTTAGGAATTAGGGGCTGTAGAGGGGCCGTAAAACTAGGATTTTCTGGTTTCTGGACAATAACTTGAGTATAAGTACGGATTGCTATCTTATTGTGCCCAAGGTTTTATACCATAAGAGGAAGGTTGCGATTGATTTTTGGGGTTATAACCCTAATGGTTTAGGAAAAATGGGTCCAAAACATTACTTTTGTAATACTTTGTATAAACTGCTTATTTAATGACCAATTTCAATGGGATTTAATTCAATAGAAATAAGAATATGTAAGTCTTGAATTCTTGGGGTACTTTAATATGCTGAATCTAACAAGTCATTTAGAATTTCGATTTTAGGCGCTGTTTTAAAGTTGGTCCAATTTAAAGTCTAAAGGGTCCAAACTAAACTTTTGTTTGATTTCATCAAAAATTGAATTATTGGTGGTCTTTAAAATGCTGAATCTAACTGTGTATTTAGATTTTTAATTTTGAGACCTGTCTTCAAATTGGTCCACATTAAGGTCCAAAGGGTCAAAAATTTGTTTGATTTAAAAAAACAAATGAATACTTGGGATTCTTTCATATGCTGAATCAAAGCGTGCATTTAGTTTTTTGAATTTGAGCACAGTTTTCAAGATGATCCAAATCTGGGTCAAAAAAAAACTTTGTTTGATTCATCAAAAATTGAATTATTGGTGTTCTTTGATGTGTCCAATCTTACAGTGTATTAAGATTTTTTTATTTTGGGCCCAGTTTTCAAGTTGGTCAAAATCGGGGTCCAAAATTAAACTTTGTTTGATTTCAACAAAAATTAAATATATGGGGTTCTTTGATATGCTGACCTGAGCGTGAAGTTAAATATTAGATTGTGGATCCCGTTATCAAATTGGTCCACAGGGCCAAAAACTAAACTTTATTTGATTTCATCAAAAATTGAATTCTTGGGGTTCTTTGATATGCTGATTCCAACCATGTATTTAGATTTTGAATATTGGACCATAATTGGTAAATATCTAATCTAAAATTATTTAAGTAATTAGACCACATTTATTCTGTGTCAGAAACTATGCTATATAAAATATTTAATCACAGTTGTATTGCACAATTAATAGAAATTATAAGTAGAGTCATAGTTAAAAATAGATATAGCACCATATGATTCTCTAATTTTAGAGAAGAAATATAGTTTGAAATTTACTGTTCATTATTAGATTATAAAATGGTTAAGTAGAGCTGTATATATTTCATCTCATGCTGATAAAGGGACAGATAATATTACTTAAGGATGAACTCAGGTCAGGTTCCGGAATTTTTGTTAGATGTTCAAACTCCTTGGATTTTTTCCTACGATATAAGGTATTTTTTTTTTTGGGCCACATACCACCCCTTTTCTTTCCTTAAAAGACTTCAATGGCTCATAAAAAGGTCATTGCCAAAATTTAAGCAGATTCTAGATTTTTTTCTTACGATTTGAGACCCAAATAATGCCAATGTTAAATATAAGGTGAAAGTCCGAGTCAGCCTTTTCCCGCCATTTAAAAAAAAAACAAATATCTAAAAAAAAAGGAGTTCCATTACCTTTCAATATTTTTAGCTTATTTTGTTCCTTTACTAATGCTCTTCTGAATTATAGTAACAATCTTAAATTCTAGATTTTTTTTAATTTCACCTAAGTACATCCTTAACAAGCAGATTTTAAAACAAAAAAAATGAGTTTATTAATTATGTTCAGTTTCTTATATTACCACTCCAGGACATGACCAATGAAGTTAATTGAAATTTTGTTTATTTCAACGTTTTTATAAGTAATCATTGAAATTAAATATTAAAATGAATAAAGGAAAGTGTATGATGTATTAATTCCCTACACATTAGCTAATGTGCGTATTTGTTTGATTATTTTGTAATTCTTTGTTTGTTATATTTCAATGTATTTCATAAGGGCCTCAGGGGAGATAAGTTTTACAGCTTTTAAAATTTTAGAATTATATTTACATATTTTATTATTATTATTTAAAAAAAAATGAAATTTTTATTTTTCTTCCTATAAAAACTACACACAATTTGTATTACATATTTACATTTGTAAGTAACTAAATATTCACATTTATGAATATGGATAAGTGTTTTGTATTTACTGTTGATTCATTCATGCAGCAATTACATGTACTACCTACTATCAAGAAAACAAAACATGTGGTATTCATCAACTAACACACTTATAATTGGAGAGACAAAAATATTTGAAAATTTTGTGTTTTCTAAGTTGTGTGGCTGATAAGCTGATTCTAAATCCATCACCATTTTGATGCGATTTCTTGGGGATAACTGTAGGACTGTATTAATGGGGAATGATATTTTGGAAAATGTTTTTTTTTTTCATTTTTTTGAAGAACTTCGTGATAGGTTTGTTTGTTATTCTGTAGAAATAACTTTTCAGAATGCTATATATATATATATATTTATGAAGCGAACCCCTTTAAAAACTCATATTGTCCATTAATAAATAAATTAGTTAAATTCTTTTTGTACTTGGATATGCTGAATATGTCCAAATCGGGGTCCAAAATTCAATAGATGGGGTTCTTTGATATGCTGAATCTAACTTTGCATTTAAATTTTCGATTTACAGGACTCTGTCATCAAATTGGTCCACATTGAGGTCCAAAGGGTTCAAAATTATACTTTGTTTGAAGTCTTCAAAAATTAAATTCTTGGGGTTCTATGATTGCTGAATTTAACTTTTTTTTTGTATTCAGGTTTTGGATATTGGACCAAAATAGGTAAAAGTCCAATTTTAAATTTTTCAGGTCTTTGACCACATTTATTCTGTGTAAGAAACCAATGTATGATGTGTCAAATATTTAATCATGACAATGAGGTCAAGGTCAGATGATACCTGCCAGAAAAACATATACAACTGACAATTATTCCATAAACCAAACATAGCTGACCTTAAAGTATTTGAAAAACAGACCAAAACACAAACACTTAACATTGACCAATGAACCATGAAAATGTTGTCAAGGTCAGATGATACTGGTAAGACCAACATGTACACCTTACAATCACTCCATACACCAAATAAAGTTGACCTATTGCTTAGTTGACCTATTGCTTATAGTACTTGTAAAACAGACCAAAACACAAAAACTTAACATTGACGAGAACTATGAAATTGAGGTCAAGATCAGATGAAACTTTGAATTCATTCCATACACCACATATAGCTGACCTACTGCTTATAATATCACAGAAACAGACCTAATCACATGACTTTAACCTTGATGTATCCATGAACTCAGGTCGGGGTCAGGTAGATGTTGCAAGGAACCCATATACCAAATATAGTTATCCTATTACTCATAATAAGTGAGAAATTTACATGACAAAAAAAAAACTATAATTTTTTTTCAAGCAGTCACTGAACAATGAAAATGAGGTCAAGGACAATAGAAAAACGGAAACTTTGTAACATAAGGTATCTGCATACAAGGTATGAAGCATCCAGGTCTTCAACCTTCTGAAACATAAAGCTTTAAAATAATAGTTTACGCCGCTGCCGGATAGCAATCCCTATTTTTCGCATACTGCGACTTTCATTGCAGCCGAGACAAAAAAATGTTGAAATCCTGGAACAAAAATACATTTCTTATTATTTGTATTTTTCACAAATGCAAATTTGAAATGCGATCTTAATCTTGTTTGAAATTGTAGCAAATTGATGTTTCTGAAAATTTGTAAATGTGAATTTTTGAAACGGGCAAACAATTTTTAATAGCATATTATATTATATACCTTTATATCTTTTTATTAAATCTTACCACAAAAAGATGGTTTTGAATATGTGCTTTTGATTTAATAAAAAATAAGTTTTTATACTGTGGATTCATTAATATTCGTTGGATACCAATGTTCGTGGTTTTCGTGGGTACAGATGAACCACGAATTTAAATGTTAAGCGAATTACAAATTTTCTATCAGGTTGCTTGCAGACTTTAGCAAAACCACGGAATCATATATCCACGAAAAGGCAAGTTTCCCGCAATCTACGAAAATTGGTACCCACGAAAATAAATCAACAGTAACCAATGTTTACCCCAATTTATCACAAAAAAATGATTTTTGAGATTGGGAAGCAATTTTGAATAGCTTATCACAACCTATATATCATTTTTTTTTTCAAATGCAGGCACAAAAAGAAGTCTCACAAAATTTGTCAGCAGGGTCCTATATAATGTAGATGTGTAATTAATAGTTTCAAGTTGATGTTACCAAATGTTATGGTCAACTACCTTAAACGTTTGAATTACAGTCACATTTCATGTTCAGTGAACCGTGTAATAGAAGTCAAAATCATAATTTTTAAAGTTCATATCATAATGAATATGTGTACTTAGTTTCAAGTTGATGTAACCACAACTTCATGGTAAAATACCTTATCCTAAATTGATACAGGGCAAAAGGACAGATGGAATTAGAGACGCAGAGTCCAGAAAAGATAATGCCCTTCTACTATCATAGGCAGGGCATAATTAACACTTTTTTTCATAGTCATTAAATCTGGCCATGACAATTTCCCTGTTTGTGTTCATCTAATAAATGAATAAACAATTTTACATAAAATAATCGCTTGATCATTTTACTATTTTACGTGTAGTCAGGTTAAGTCCGAGGCGAGGACCTTGACCTGACTACAAGTGCAGAAAAACTTTACGTCTGGTTGTTACCATCCCGTTTATTTTGTTACTTTTGTTTTGTATCTGACTTGTACGACGTTTTCAATTAGAAAGTAATACATTTTGCATTTAAGACCATTGCATAATTAAAAAGATTGAACATAAAAAAAATGCACACCGGTTTATGTTCCACGATGTTTGAAGATATTTAGTCTTTAATTAATTAGTATTTTGCCTTAACACTAGCGCTTCTCAATTCTATAAGCTGTGTGCGAGTAAAATGTAAATTGTTGCTTATTCCTTTGATACATATCAGTAAAGTAGGAGTAGATTGAAAAGATGAGAAAGGGGTGGACTTCTCAAAGTGACATGCAAAAAAAAAAGACTTTTAATCTATACTTTCCCCTTACCCGGCTCCTACGCCCCTGCTTTTATATATACTCCTCCACACCAAGAAAAAAAGCTTACATACGTACAAACAAAAAAAGTCAAACAAGTATATATGTTTTGCCTCCTCCATCCCCCTTTTTGAAATTGGGGGGAATTGCCCCCTTCTTCGGCTATCTTCTACCCCCTCCCCCCCCCCCCCCCCCAAAAGAAACATATAAAAAAATAAACAAAAAAAAATATGAATAACAGATTTAAAACATTTAAAATTTCAACGACGTATGCAATAAGAAAGAGTAACCAGACAAACGTAATACAACAATTATAAATATTGTCAAAATCCATAAAATAAAGAACAAAATATCTAAATATCAAAAAAGATGTTTTTATGAACACTTTTCTTTATAATTATATTTATAAAACAAGGTAATTAGGTCACAAGGTGTACGATAAAGTGCCTATGAACTCACTGAATACACGAGTGACTCTATTCATAAAAAGTGTCCGTAACACCCGTTATTGTACTGTTTTTCTATAGCTCTGCTGGGGAGCAAAGTCGTACAAACTGTAACACGAGTACCTGAGTGTGCTGAATACGCAATTTAATGTCAATCAACTTTTCACTTTTACTCAGTTAGGACGGACATAGCATTGAAATTATGTGTCTCTTATACAGACAAGATAAATAGCACGAAGCAAAATAGATCAACTCATATTATATGAATAGAATAAAGTGATTTTTCAATTCACAAGGTTAAATAGCTACTTCTTAGGCTGTTATACCATCCCAAATAGCACCACAGAATTGTCAATTTTAATTTTCACAAAAAAAAAAGGAAAATTACTATGCTTCGTTAATATAGTTAACATCAATGGCAAGTGGTAGTAGTCACTAGTAATGCTAGTAGGTGGAGTTAATATCAATGTACATTATTTTGTAAATCTTTAAAATATTTGATACAGTAAAATATCCTTCAATATTCATATATATTCACACTTTCTTTCAGGAAGCATTACAGAATGCAATATGCTATAGTTGTAAAGAAAAATTGAATAAACAAGGTATGTACCTCATATTACTTATAATATATATGTAAACAAAATATTCAACCAAATTAGGAACAACAACCTATTTTACATCAATGGACAATAATTACACTTCCCATACATTTCAAGTGAGGGATTAGATATAACATGTCAAAGAGAGTGTATGTAAACTGATAATATTGTTCAATCAAAAAGGTTAATCTAGACATTGTGTGTTTTAGAAACTAAAGAACAGAAAATAAAAACTTACAAACTAGGACAGCCTATTTTCACACTACATCATCAGACAGACCTGACATCAGCAATTGGTAATGATTTGAGTACAGTAGTCTCAGATAAAGTGATGATGGATGATGGTAGGCTAGTGCTATGTATACCTGACCAACACATACTATTAATCTGTGATATAGATGGATCAAAGGTTGACAGAATACATCTAAAGAATGGACCATGGTCTGTGGCAGCAGTCAACGACTATACAGTAGCTGTTCTGATGCTTATCGACAGTATAGAGATGTATGACATAAACAATAAACTCAAACTTAAATCAATCTCAGTACCAGGAATGTGGCAAACAACCGGCATTACAACAACAAATAACAAGTTAGTTGTATTTGGTCAGTACAAACTACTGATCATAGATCACCAGACAGGAGAAGTAGTACAGACAATAGAAACTGAATGTATTCCTAATTGGTTACATGGTTCTGGTGACAGAATACTCTACTGTGATAACAACTTCTACAATACCAATAACAACAAACTGCACTGTTACAGTTACCTTGATGGCAAAAATCATAATCTAACATTACCATCACAACCTTTCAGGATGACTACACTACAAGATGGCAGTCTATATGTGGTTTGTATGGATAAATCAGTACAACATGTGTCATCTGATGTTACACAGTATGAAACTGTTACAACAAAGGGACTAAAAGAACTGCAACATCTTTTGATATTACATAATTCAAAGCAAAGAAAACTGGTCACAAATGGTGATCAGAGATTAATTTTCAACGTCTTCTATGAGGAATAATAGTCTTGTATGAGTATTTCTATGTTTTGGCTTGGTAAAAGTACCTTATTCGGAATTTACGTTCACTCAGACTTATGTAAATCATTTTTTATCGGGAAAAGATTCAGTAAAAATGACAACAAAAAGATGCTCCTCAGGTCCTGAAATGATCATCTGGCAAAAATATGTCATTTAAACAAAAACAAAAGTTTAGAAAAAAATTACCTATTTCCAAATATACAGCTAAGCTGAAAAAGTGAAATACTTCATTCTTCAGTACCTGGATCACATAATTAAAATATGAAATAACAATAATCACCTTTTTGCAAAATATCCCTCTTCCTAGTCAACACCCCCTCCCCCCCCCCGTAAAAAAAATCTTTCTTGTTCAAATGGTCCTCTACTAAAACGTCATCACAAAATCAATCCAAATCCATAAAATGCTCATAAGATAACCTTTTAACCGTAATAACTCTTAGACGGAGTCAACTGGTTGTTTATTTCATATCGTCATTTTGGAGATCTCCTATTGATGATATGTTTTGCTGTTTACAGTTTATTACTTTTCTAGTTTGTGATGATCGGCAAAAACACAAAAATGAGTAAAAATAAACTGTCAATAGAGGGCAATAACTTCTATAAGGAGTTGTGGAATGGATTCTGTAATTCAATTTTGGTATTGTTGATCATTTAAGAGTTGATAGTTTCTGTCTATCTAATATATATTTTGCGATAATTTTTAAAATACCAAAAATAGTATAAAAATCATTTATTAATAACAGAATCTACTTTAAGGAATTGTCTAATGATAACAGAAATCTGGCATATCTGTAGAACTTGTGTTGATGATCATTTTATCCGTTTACAATTTCTGCGCATTTATTATAGTTTTCGACATCAAAGGCAAACACCTAGACATTTGTAAAATAAAATGTAACACAAGGTCAATAACGTCTATAATGAGTCATCTGAATATTACTATGGAAATAAGACGTAGGCCAAACTTTACATTCTGAGTTATTTTGTTTTGCCCCTTCATATTTTCTCGATTTATAATGATATTGAAGTAGAAACATTGTACACTTTTATTCTTTTTTTTTAATCTTTTTGGCAGATTGGTAGGCACAAAAAAACACAAACCTTTATATTCAATACACTGTAAAGATCATTCAGTTGAAGTTTAGTTGTAATTGATCATGTGTTTTTAGGGAATATTTAAAAAAAAGAAACAAAAAAAACCAAAAAAACTTTATGACGACAGACGACGACGATAACTACCACAGCTTATAGGGCTAGAGGAGCTTAAAAGAGATGAAAACAAGTATAAACACTTCTCCTCATTAAGAATTGATCAATTCATATTTTATTAAGGAAAAACAACTGACTGAAAAAACTGAGATAGGTGGAAAAAATGCATTATGGTGAGGAGATAATGTGAAAGATTCATACTTTTAGTTTTATAAACATGAACATTCTACATTACCATTACATTATTTATCTCAATATGAACCTCATACATAACCATAATATTATTTTATCTGAACATGAACATCGTACATAATCTCAACATTGTTTTATTTAAATATGAACATCATACAAACATGTAACCATAACATTATTTTATCTGATTATGAACATCATAAATAAGCATAACATTTTTTAATCTGAACATGAACATCATACCTTACCATAATGTTGTTTTATCTGGACATGAACATTATACATAACCATAACATTGTTTTATCTGGACCTGCACATAATCCATAACCATAACATTGTTTTATCCGGACATGAACATAATACATAACAAAAACAATATTTATCTGAACATGAACATAATATATAACGATGAAATTACCTTATCTGAACATGAACATCATACTTTACAAAAACAATATTTATCTGAACATGAACACCATACATAACAATAACACTGTTTTATCTGGACATGAACACCATACATAACAATAACACTGTTTTATCTGGACATGAACACCATACATAACAATAACACTGTTTTATCTGGACATGAACATCATACATAACAATAACACTGTTTTATCTGGACATGAACACCATACATAACAATAACACTGTTTTATCTGGACATGAACACCATACATAACAATAACACTGTTTTATCTGGACATGAACACCATACATAACAATAACACTGTTTTATCTGGACATGAACACCATACATAACAATAACACTGTTTTATCTGGACATGAACACCATACATAACAATAACACTGTTTTATCTGGACATGAACATCATACATAACAATAACACTGTTTTATCTGGACATGAACACCATACATAACAATAACACTGTTTTATCTGGACATGAACATCATACATTACAATAACACTATTTTATCTGAACATGAACATCATACATAACCATAACATTGTTTTATTTGGACATGAACATCATACATAACAATAACACTGTTTTATCTGGACATGAACACCATACATAACCATAACATTGTTTTATCTGAACATGAACAGCATACATAACAATAACACTGTTTCATCTGAACATGAACATCATACATAACAATATAATTACATATCTGAACATGAACATCATACATAACCATAACATTATTTTATCTGAACATGAACATAATACATAACCATGAATTACCTTATCTGAACATGAACATCATACATAGCAATAACACTGTTTCATCTAAACATGAACATTATACATAACCATAACATTGTTTTATTTGGACATGAACATCATACATAACAATAACACTGTTTTATCTGGACATGAACACCATACATAACCATAACATTGTTTTATCTGAACATGAACAGCATACATAACAATAACACTGTTTCATCTGAACATGAACATCATACATAACAATATAATTACATATCTGAACATGAACATCATACATAACCATAACATTATTTTATCTGAACATGAACATAATACATAACCATGAATTACCTTATCTGAACATGAACATCATACATAGCAATAACACTGTTTCATCTAAACATGAACATTATACATAATCATAACATTATTTTATCCTCAGCTCCACATCTACTAAATAACTTTCTGATCATTTCACTCATTCAGTTCAATCAGTTCTTTCTATAAATATATATCACGATTAGTTAAAGATACTTACAATGATTGAACTCGTTGTGGAAGTATTGTTTTCCTTAAGATATTAACTACTAATAAATTATATTCAAAACCAGTTGGTAAAATGTTTACCTATCCAAATATTGATAATATTCCTTGTATTCATACAGGTTATGTTTCAAACATGCACATTTATTAAAGAGAATCATTTTTTTTTTTTCAATTTTTATTTCGTAAATGCTATTCCCACTTATAGTAAACGGGTGGCATCCGAAAATAATTTTGAACTTCTTTTAATGTTCAAATCATCATTAGTAACATCTGGTTATAGATTTCACCATTCAATTCATTTCAACTTTGTGAACAGCAGCTTTAAAACAAAGCTCTGTAAACAGACCGCCCTGTCCTAATACATCATAGTTTTGTCTTAACATTAGCATGATTAATATTTCACAGTTTTTTAAGTTCAAACACAAAAATTAAAAAACTTTGCAAATACAAATCTCCCTCTCACAACACATTTAGAATCTACCGACAATCATCCTTTTCATTGTATTTTTATAGAAAAGGTATTCTTCTTGTTGACATTCGGTTTTTTTCATGACTATTTGTAATGTGCATTATCATTGTATTAATAAATGTGTGTTTTTATAGTGGTCCTGTTATATGCCCGAGATCTGTAATAATGGCCAGAGGATGTTGTAATGGACAGAGGCAACGTCGTAGCTACTATTCTTGCGCATCGCTAACAGAAACTTCCATGATAGGCATGACTTCTACAAGTCAAATCATCAAAGATCCATTCGCAAGCAGATAAATCATACACTACTTTTTTTTTCATGCTATCACTTTGAAAAAGTTGTCACATGACTGCCTTATTTCTTTCCATGCACATAAAAAATATTGGAGTAAATTTGTGCATATGACCCAGTGAGCCGCATACATATATTCACAATATTTGCTTCTTCGTCCAATATTTTGTTTGCAAATGAAAACCATTACAACCTTTTTGAATACTGCACTGAAATAAGGCAAGATAAACAATATCTTAAAGAAGCAAAAGTACAGTGCTGAAATTGAAGGATCTAAGGGAATAAACCTTTGCATTGTGTAAGAGAGAAGTCAGTGATTAAAAGATAAATATTTGTAGAGAAAAAATGGATAAGGTAGGAATGTGTATGGTTTATCTGCTTGATAATGTATCTTTTGAAATTTCGAGACATAGATCTGGATCTGCAATTTCCATATTTTTTTTATATATTTGAACTGTGCTCAAATTTCCCACAGCCAAAGCAAGACCTTAAAGTATCTCCAGACTTAAGAGCAATGTCAGATTAAATAGACACATTTTCTTATAAGAATTAAAACATATGGAAAAGAAGAATCTGGTCTAACCAGGAACGCTCTCTTTATATTAAACAAGTTGAACTGTGAAATACTGCTCACAAATGATACCCGTACTATAAATATTTGGTAAACAGGAAGTTGATGAATGGATGTGAAAATGCATTACACAGTAAAGCTTACTCGCATGAAGCTTAACTCCAAATTCCGGAAAGCCTTGATTTGTAGTTCCTGAGGAAAATACTGAAATATTTTCACTTACGACTATTATGTGAAAAAATATTTGAGTATCATGTAAACAAAAACATTAAATGGCAATGAATCTAATCACACAGTACACGATGGTCACGTGAAGCTGAATTCCAAATTTTAGAAAGCTCTGCTTTGTAGTTTCTGAGAAAAAAAACTCATTTCTAAATGGGGTATAAAAATCATTCACAAAGTATTATATGGTTCACCCATGATGTATCATGTATATATAAATTGATCAAGATTATTTGCTTCATTTTTGATTATTTCAAACAATTATGAAGTAACATCTTCAGCTGATCTTAAAGTGGTACTAAAACGCAAAAAAACATGTTTGAATAATTTTAAAGTTCGAAATAATCGTTGAAAAACGCAAAAACTCCGATAAAATTTTATCTTGTAATTATCGAGATATTTGCAAAATACTGTCTGTTCGTAATTTGCACACCTGAACGATTTAGTAAAACACGCCACTAACACTAACGTACAGTGGGTCACCCTGATCAAATACGTGTATTATATCGTATGTAAACAGATCAGCTTGCAAAGTAAAATAACAGTTTTGATATATATCGGTGACAATTACCAACCGAATCTACATTGAGAATATTGATATACATTTATCGAGGCTTGATAATCGCATAAATATTTTAATCAAATGTTTATAATTAGAAAAGTATTGAAAAAACTTCCAAAAGCAAAATCAACCTTTTTTTCTATAAAATATTTACATGTGCATCCAAAAGTGGCAAAATAATTATTAATCAGTTTATTGATGGTGACTGCGTAATGGTAGAAGCAGAAGTAGAACCGTGCATGTGAAGTTCCATGGCGGAGAAACGGATTTTAAAATAGGACACTCCCAACACGTGCTTCCAAAAGACGACGTAGGACGTAACTTGTTGATTTGTTGTAAAGTTAAACTTCGTGGCTAAAAATAAACTGCCATATGAGAAATTCACTTTTCAGAAGACTGATATGCATGTTATATCGTGACATGTGATTGCGATAATTAGAACAGAGACATATATCTGATTAGAGACACGTGTGTATATATTTCTCTGCTTTCATGTACATTTCTACTTTCATTAAAATGTTCTTACTTACTTACTGACGGACTTTAGTTACAGCAGTATTTCAAAATAATATAAGTTTATTTTCCAGATAATGTGAAGAATTGCGTACTGTCAGTCACAGTAATCTGCTTGACTGATTTAGAAACCTGAATATGTATTGATCAAGCTATTTCCTTAAAAATGAAATACTGGATAGACTTGTAATTAACCTATACAGAAATTTAAAAATCAAACAAAATTTTACAATGGAAATCAGTATAAGTATAAATGATTGTCATCGGGTTTCCCATAGTCCTTGGACCAGGGACAGTCTTTACTAACGGGACTGGTCACTTATAACAATGTCTATACAAATTTGCAGACAGAACTGTGCCGTCGCTGATGTCACTTGACTTCATAGCAAATCATTTCACATTTACGAAGTGTTCTTCACAACTATATGTTCAAGTTTATTGAAGTAACATTTTCATGAAATTTTATATATTTTGTCATTGCAAAATGCTGTTTTTTAAAAGATTTCTCCGATAGTTTTTGAAATATAGACCTTTGAACTTTGAGGGATTTGTTCGTGAATTTCGTGTGGCCGCCATCTTGTTCAATATGTAACCCCTTTTGCACGACTGGAGTGTTCTTCAAAACGATATGTCTCAATTTAATAATAAAACATTCTTTTAAAATCTTATATTTTTTGTCATGGTAAATGGCTATTAATCAGATTTTATATTAAAAAATATTAAATTACAATGTACTTTGAAATACGCAAATAACTACTAGTTTCGTATATCAGATATATTTTTCTAAGTTTATTACACGGGAGGCGTAGTTATTTAATTAAAATCAATAGAGACGAGTCCCGTTAGTATAGAAAGTCCCTGTCCTTGGACCTAATGTAAAAATATTGTTATATACTAATGTAGTCCGAGATTACTCTGACGTCCAACGGCTGTTTTGCCAGACAAGCTTGTCTGGCAAAACAGACGTTGGATGTCAGAGTAATATCGGACTAATACTAGTGTTATATCAGGTCCCAGCATAGTCCTACAAAAGGACGAATGTAGGACAGAAAGTCACAGTACAAAAATTCACAATTCAGTTTTGAGTTTATTCTTTTTTGAATAAGAAAACATTTATTTTCAAAAACATTTTTGTATTTTTTCTAGAATTTTTACATATATGGCAACTTTGTAAACAAAATTTATTCTGAAAAAATCAATAGTGAGAAAATAATTATTAAGATAACAATTTGTCAAAGTGGCGTGGTACTTAAATGGTTTCATAGTGCCAATAAATATATCCTTTGCATGCATAAAATATGACAACTCTTCATTACTCAAGGTTTATGAACAATTTTATAAACTGTAAAATGAATATACGCCAAAAACAATATTTCAAGAAATTTTTCCTACGTATTCAAACCATAACAAAAAAATAGTATGTTTGACTTTTTGTTCTATCAAATTTACGACTTTCTGTCCTGTGACTTTCAGTCCGTTAACCCATGGAAGTATTATATTGACTTCATTTTACTTCCATGGTTTACCATAGAGACATATTATACAATTCTAATCTACGTCTGTGTCCTAAATCACAGGCCTATTTTATATATATGTATTTTGGGGTTTTTTTTCGTGTTATTGGAAAATAAGATATAAAAATCTATATCGTAGAAATATAAGAGCAACAAAATTATTAAATAAGTTAAAATATCTAAGAGCATTTAAAACTACAACAAAAACCATTGAAATAAAATCTTAGAAAGAGGGGTGTGCATTCCCAAATTACTTGTGTCCTAAATCCTAAATGTTATGATCACACCAAATATTTTTTTTTTAAATAAAAAAAATTATAACATACTGTCATTAAGGTTTTGAAATATTGACCTTTTCTTTCATTTGAAAATTTAAGCAATGACAATTGAATAACCAAACAAGAAAAATATTAATCTTCTCGGTCACTTTTTGATCCTGGTAATTAAAACAGTCCGTACTTTGACACCTATTAATAAGTAAACATCCTGTAAGGTAATAAAGATTAAACAGGGTAAATAGTAGTTATTATCCCTCCACTCAGTTAATTAACAACTTGGCCATGCAGAAATGCCACCTGTTGTTAATAAATTGATGAACTTTATAGTTTGATAATTAACATTATTAAAAAGGTATTGTGAATACCCGGTTTTTAACTTGCAATTTTTATTACTTGGAAAAGAAGCCCTACCGTCATATCTTGTCAAGATGTTATGCAACTTAATTCACTTACATGTAAACATAAACAATATTTATCCTCGACTTAATAATTTTTTTTTTATTAAAAGCTAGAATATAATATATTGACCGTTAATATTTTCTCTTTCCTACGATCAGGAAAATTGTTATGAGTTGAAAACTGTTAAATAACACCAAGACGATAACCCTGTCCATGCAATTCCCTCAGGTTTTGTGTCTCACCTTGATTTGTATCTTCTCAATTGATTTATGACATTTGAATATCGGTTTTATAAACCTACTGTTGCTGTTGCCTAAATTCAAATACATTACCACTTAGATCAATATAGTTTAGATTAGCTTGCATACTGTCTAATAATCAATACAGATAAAAAAAAATGGTTACTTTGAGCAATTATTTAATCATACACTTTACATCAATCCCAGAAATATAAATTATATAAGAAAGCTACATGATATATTTTCATTCCATCACCATTTTTGCCCATAGGAATATACATGTGCCCAGTATGTACTCACCCATAATGCCACTGGGAGTATAGATATGCGTGCTCACCCCTAACGCCCTAGGAAAAAAACTTATCACTTCCTGTAGGTACCATGGTTCATTATATTCTACATAAAACATCACAAGATGATCAGTGCCAAATCGATTTATTGATCAGAGTATAAATACAGCTGTTAATTCATAAACAATTTCTACATAAGAAATACCTGTACCAAGTCAGAAATATCACAGTTGTTTTTGCATTCGTTT